CCTTATGGCATAGCAGATAAACCCACTGCTTGCAAAGCTGGCATCCTCCATGAGTGCCCATTTGGCCCTGGCTACTCCACTTCCAACCCAGCCCCCTACTAATGTGCCTGGAAAAAAGCAGCGAAAGATGCTTTCAATTATCTGGGCTGCTGCCACCCATATGGAAGACCCACATGAAGCTCTTGGCTCCTGGCTTCACCCTGGCTCCACGCTGGCCAGTGTGGCCATCTGGGGAGTGAACCAGTGGATGGAAGATTCTTTGTGGTTCAAAACAAAAAAGTAAATAAATTTAGTTAAAGTGTCACCCAGCCAAAAATGGTTTAGATTCCTCGTTTTGTTGTTTGGCTCTCACATTAAGTAGGATTGGGTTAAACTACACTAAGTAGAAAATCCAACTCATGGTGCTGTGACCAAAAGTTCTCTCTCCCCCTTTCATTTCAGTGGGATCCAGAGCTTGGCTCTTCATTTCACTTCACAGTACCAGCAGAAACCTCTCTCCTCCTTATTATACATGGATTCCTTGTGGTTCCAGGACGGACAGCTACCACACCTCTGCTGTGTCTGCCTTCCAGGATAGCCATACCTGTTAGGAAGCTTTTCCCCATAAGCCCTAAGAATCTGCTTCATTGGCCAGACTGTGTCACATGGCCATTCTTAGCTGCAAGAAGGTCTGGGAAATGCAATCTTCTTATGTGAGTGCATTGCTACCCTTGACAAAATGAGGGTTTTGCAGCAAAAGAAAATGGGAGTATGGCTTTGGAGGACAAGGACCAGTCACCACTACCCTTCTAACCTTGGTTCCTGATGTGGTAGCCAACTCCTCAGTGTGTCTGCAGGAACCTCCCAGAGGAAATCACCCAAACCAGGGTCACTGTGGCAGTTGGCTGCACAGATTCTCCCACTGAATGGCTCTGGAGGAAGCTCCCTGCCTCCCCCACCAGCGAATTCTTTACATCAGAACCAGGCTTTAGTGTTCTCTTTGAGGAGGTAAATTAACTCAAGTCATATATCAAGTGGAATATATATATGTATTTATACATGCATGTTTATAATACATATATATATATATAACCCATTCTCATTATATATATATAATGTAGACAGAGTCTATATTGGAAAGACAGAGTCACAGAGATAGCTAAGACAGAGATCTTTCATCTGCAAATCTACTCCCACAATGGCCTCAAGGGCGAGAGCTGAGTCAGACTGAAGTTAGGAACCAGGAGTCATGAGCTTCCTCTGGGTCTCCCATATAGGTATAGGGGGCTAAGCATTTGAGTCATCATTTGCTGCTTTTCCAAGTCTTAAGCAGGAAGGTGGATTGGAAGGGGAGCAGCCTGGACATGAACTGTTGCTCATCTGGGACGCCATCACCACAGGCAGAGTTTTAGAGTGCTTCATGGCAGCAGCAGCAGCCACAACAAATAGCATTTTAGGATTCAATTCTGCTCCATTCCCACCAAAGCTAATGTAATAGCCAGCCATTCCCATGAAAAAGAATTCCATCAAACATCTCAGTGTTCCATGACCATGCCTAAATGAAATTATTAGGAACACGTTACTTTGAATCACGCATGATTCTAAGTGCTTCTTAAAGTGATAGTCCCCTCTGGTGAAGACAAAAGAGGATCCGATCTGTCCTGCCTTGGTCTTGACCCTGGCTGACCAGCCTTTATGTCATCCTGGAAATGGCTGAGTTGCCCATGGAGGAAAAAAGGGAGCCGGGGAAGAAGATTCGAGGTAGCCTGTCTGTCTCCAAAAGAAGTGGGGCACCCAGCTGTCTCACCTCCTTCACCACAAAGCCACAGCCACGCCTGCGACGTTGCTGGAGATATTAATAAACAGTGCTAGTAAGTTTGGGTCCAGCAGACAGCAGCCTTTGGTCTCCCTCTCTCCCCACCCACGCTCCTCAAGCTGCGGACAGAGGAGCTAGCTTTCTCGTAATTGGCTTTGACACTCGCTCAGGGAATAGCACTGCTGGTAAGAGATCAGCATCAGAAACAGCAGGTGGGATGCCAGACACCTCAGAGTGCTCGAAGCCTGAGACAGCGGCATCTCCCTGCTGGGTCCATTTCTGGCTACAAGGGACACTCCCGTAGGCTGGGCTTTCCCGGCATGTATTGCTGACCTTGATCAGAATTGACAGCTGGAAGACCCTTAGACTGAGCAGCAAAGATGCCGCCTCCTCGGAGACACCCAAGTTACAGAAACTGGCACAGGTCTTCCTCCTACGATCCAGGAGTCCTTAGGGTCAAGGATCATGCCCACCTGGGACCCTCTGTGCTCTTTGCATTTTTCAGTTAGTTGTATGTTTCTGCAATTCTATTTAGAATACAAAGACAGAGCCCAAATCTGCTGGCTCACTCCCCTATTTCTGCAACAACCAAGTCTGAGCCAGGCTGAAGCCAGGAGCCAGGAACTCAGGGCAGTTTCCTATTTTGGGTGACAGGGGCCTGGCTACTTGAGCTACCATCCGCTACCACCCACTGTGTGTGATAATTAGCAGAAGATGGATTAGAGTGCTGAGTCAGGATTTGAACTCATGCCCTGCAATAGGGCATACAGGGGTTATAAAGCCTGCAGCCCTGGCTGCCTGTTCCCCTGTAGTCCCTTTTAGGATCATTCTCTGCCCAAGATCCCAGCATCTCCTATCTCCATGGGTCTGAGCAGACTTCCCACAGGTGCCACCTGCTTCTCCCAATACCACCTCTCCCCTAGGGTGGACCAGACCAGTAGTATTTGCACCATTGGACCCAAAGTTACCAGGAGATGGCCATCTGTGGGGCGGGAGGTACAGAGTAGATGCGGTTTGGTCTTGTGGGCTGCTGTGTCCATCAGTTTGAACCTGTGGTGCAGGAGGAGCCCGAGGGTGAGGGGAGATGGGAGCTGAGCATGTGCCCTATGAGGGACATTTCTTCCCACTATATATTAATGCAACTCCTGAGCACGCTAAGAAGCCCAAATTTGAGCCTAACCTCTAAGATTAGGATGGCCCTGTCTGTGACAAGGACTATGGAATGTCTTTTGCTAAGGGTCTGCAAGCTTGATGCAATGTTTAAATATTCCAACGTAAGAGATGTGGCCTCCGTGTCCTTGCCTCATTTTGTAGGTAGACTTAATCCATCAACATATTTTGTTTGGTCTACAGAGTTGGAAGGGTTCCTATGGAAATTTTGGCTTTGACTTTAAAAAAAAAAAATTGGAGAGATACGGCCACAGTGGGTCTGAACTCCTCCTATGTGGCAGTGAAGGAGAGAAATGAAGGCAGGTGCCCACTCTCTCTTCCATTTTCCACACTCTCCACCACTCCCAATTATCTTACATCCAGCGGATGCTATGCATTGACAGTGCCTGCTTGGACCTAGAGGCATCTGAGTGTGTCAACTGGCACACGTTCCTGGGGCAGCCACTCCCAGGCACGAGTGGATGGCAGAAATGCACACCTCTGTGTGGTCACCTCTCCCCTTTCCCTTTGTGGAGTAGTAGTTGACACTGACCCTTGCCCCCGGGGCTCTGCCACCCACTGCCTCTACTAGGCTGACCAGAAAGGAGAAGTGGAACTGTCTGAGGTCATTAGAAAGTGGAGACTGAAAGGGGAAGAGAAGTCCCCGCCAAGAGATGGGGAGGGGTGCACGTGAGTGCCCAATGTCTGGTTCTAGCCCTGAAGCTTTTTCAGAAGATGCCCGGCATGGGTCATGTGCCTTTTGAGGGGGTTTCTGGGGGAAAATCACAGCACTGGACAGGGGAGGGGAGGGGAGAGAACTCTGTCTTATTGGAAGGAAGGCCGCCTGAGGTTCTTCCAGACTGTCCATCCCTCCTCCTTCCCCAGACTCTAAGTAGTGGGACTTGGCTTGGTTGCCAGGCAACAGCTTCACTGGTGGAGCCCTGTGGATTGCAGTGTGTGTGCAGAGGCCTCTGCCTTGGATTCCTCCTGTATTCAGGCTGCAGGCAGGTGAGGTCTCCACACACAGGCAACCAAGGCTGGGAATGAAATCTGTCCTCCTTTCGGCCAGAGCTGCTGACCAGAGTGTGGAGGAGGTGCCGATACAGGGTGAGGGCAGGGCCCTCCCTTGGGCAGTGGACAGTAGCAGTGACCCCCACTCAGGAAGAGCTGAAGGATGAGACTGAGATCCCTGCATCGGACACCCAGAAGGGCAGCCCGCATGGCCTGGGGGCCAGCAGGTGGCCCTGCTGTGGTCAGGGCTGATGTGGCCATGATGCTTCCCAGTAGCAGTGCGATGAGCGACAACTGCAGGCCCCCGACCCCGCAGCCCCTTGAGAGCATCAGGAGACCACTGCCTCCCCTGGGAGATGCTGCCCGTCTGTTGCTGGGACGTCCGATGAAAGGCTGGCACTGTGGCACTGCATCTTATATTGTCATTTGATACCAGCATCCCATATCAGAGGGCTGGTTCAAGTCCTGGCTGCTCCACTTCCAGTGCAATGGAAGAAATGCACCAGAGGAAGTGTGGGGGATCCTGCCACTCCTGTGACAGAAAAGGATAAAACTCGGGCATTTGGGAAATGAATCAATAGACGAAAGATCTCTCACTCTGCCTTTCAAATACAAAAATAAAAACAGACAAGCAAAGCCAGCTGATGGAGTGTCTGGGGCATCCTGGAGACCTGGCCGAGCAGGTGTAGCTGTGAGCAGGAAGTGACAGGCTCCGCCTGACCTCAGCCTCTCCGGGAAACAGCCAGCAGGGGTCCCCCCTCTCCAGCCCACGTGCCGGAATGGGTTTCCAGTCTGGAAAGCAAGAGGCACGGGTGGATTGGGAGGGTCATCTAAGGAGGCTGAGGGAAGAAGATTGGAAAAAATGCCTAAAGAGGCATAGAAGATGCTTTAGAAAAAGGCAGCTACCCAGGTCCCCAAGTTGATCGACAAACCAGGAAAGGAAGCCACACAGCCTTTTGTGGGTGCCTGCGGCCGAGACCACCCTCAGCCAGCTGAGGGTTTCAAAGGGCAAAGTAAGAGGGACATTGCCCTGCCAGGCTTGTTTCTTTGAAGACATTTATTTAGAAAAACCACCCCACCCGGCCCTCCTCCCTTCAGGGGCCGTGGGACTTGAGCTGCGAGCTTGATCCTGCTCTGGTTGGGGTTTCCCCCACCTGGTGTCCTGTGTCCAGCCCATGCTGTCCACTGCCCTGGCGCTGTGGGCGGAGTGGTGGTGGAGGAGGTGAAGGCTCATGTTGCTCTAGCTGCCAGAACCCTCTCCATTCAGTCCTTGCCCCATGCTTGCCTCCAGCTCTCCAGGCACACGGAGTGCGTTGAGCGGCATGGGCAATGTGGCCGCAGTCTGTGTGTCCCTCCAGAGGCCTCGTGGCGTGGTGGCCAGCAGGGATGGGGCCGTGCGGGCTCCCCACCACCGGGAATGGGTTCATCTCGATGCTCAGGGCTGGAAGCGCGGGGAGCTGACGTGAGGTTGGTGGAAGGCGTGGGCACTGTACACCACCTCGGGGGGTGAGGGCGTGCTGGTGGCCAGCACAGAGCACAGTGGCTCGTGGCTACTCAGCACTGACGTGAAATACTTCATCTCCTCCGTGAGCTGTTTGATCTCCTTGCGCAGAGCTGCATTCTGCTTCTCCAGGTCCTCGCTCTCCTGTGAGGGCAAGATGGATGTGGACATGAGCGGCAGGGAAGATGGTTCCATGGGTAGGATAGGGTTTGTCCTGACTTGACTGTGGGGAAGGGCACTGGAAAATCTTCCTGCATGTGTGATGTGTGTATAGTTGAGTCTTGGGAGTTTATGCATGTGTGTGCCTATCTAGGCAAGGTTATGAAATTGAATCCTATGGGACTGCTGAGGTTTGCCTGGCTGTACCCATCAGCCTAGTCTTGTGTTGTGGTACCCAACAGGTGAGGTTGGGCTGCTTTTCAAGAAACAGGAAGCGGGAGAGCATGACCCTGGTATGCTGGTGAGAATCACATGGGCAGAAAAGCACAAGAGCTTTTCTGTGTGCGCAGGAGAGAGGCAGGTGTCCGGCTTGCTTGGAGACAGCCCACTCAGTGACCTCCTGACCTCCCACCACACTGTGACACTGAGGTCCTGGTCGCAGCATGAGACTTGATGGGGACTGAATGAAGCACAGCTAACAGAGGTGTGTGTGCCAGTGTGCCCTTACATGTGCCTGCGTGCAAAAGACCCTAGCACACACTCCTCTTTGGAAAGCAGTTTGTGAGAACTCCCCTCCTAGTTCCTCTCCATCCACTCTGGGGCACCATCTTTTTCCTTATTGCTTGGGAGAAACAGCAGGTGCATTGGTCACCAGGAAACCTCAGGGAAGCACTGCTAGTTCTGGGTCCTGTCACTAATGAGCCAGCTACACTTTGGGGGTTGGGAGTGGCGGACAGCATTAGCAGTTACTAAGGAGCCCAGGCGACTGCTTTTCCATTGCAATTGTAAGGGTCATGTTCCAGGGCTCAAATAGTCCTTCTCTGCTAAGAACTGGTGCCCACATAGGAAGCGGAAATAGCATTGGAAGTGCAAATACATTGTATTATAGTTAAAAAAAATCCACCCAATATCTGGTGTCACAGTCTAGTTTTGTGTGGTTTAGGTTGCTTGCTTAGAAATCCTTTTAAAAATCTCAAGATTTGAACTTGGTGGATTCAGGGCTTTAGGGAGATTTGGAAATCAGAGTGTTTAACAAGTGCCCCAAGTCAGGTTGAATCTTCAAGTAAATTCAAAAACATTGGTTACCTACAACATGAACTTTGGTTATTCAAGTGCTTGTTGTCTATTTAAGGGGCCAGGACAGCGTATGAACTCATGTTTGTTGATGAATGAATGACATCAGTTACTGGCACAAAGAAGTTGATTTAAAAATAAGGGGGTGGTGAATCGATATAAGATAACCTGACATTTAAAGCTGGCTCTGTGGGCGTCTGGCACAGCAGCTCGATCCCTGAGTTCTGCTCCCAGCCCCAGTGCCTGGCTTCTGCTGGGCAGCTGTGACAGCTCAAGGCATTGGGTTCCTGACACCCATGTGGCAGACCTGGATTGAGTTTTCCAGCTGCTGGCTTCAGCCTGTCCCAGCCAAGGACCTTGTGGGCATCTTGGGAGTAAACCAGCAATGGGCGTGCTCTGGCTCTGAGTCCCAGTATACCTCAAAATAAACAAGTCAAACTTGTCTTAAGTCACCTATTGGGAGCCACAGGCTAATTTAGGCTGGATGGGATTGGCCGGTTCCATTGTCAATCATCCCACCCACCGACCCTGGGTATGGATGTGGTGCCCTTGGATGTGGCCAGAACCACCCAGTGGCAGCCCCCAACCTGTGTGTGAAGCAGAGATGTGAGCATGCTCTCTCTCTGCCTGACATTTCCTGGATGTTGTTCTGAACTAGAATAAAAGGGGACTCCACCTTGAAAAGGGGGTACTCAGAGGGGGTAGGATGTGGGGAATGCCTGAGCCGTGGGATGGAGTTGGAGCCCCGTGGCTGTTCTGCCGAGCTGGGGTCAGCCCACTCGCTGAACTTGTTCTGGTTTGCTGGCACATCCCAGGGTGTGCACACTGCTCCCCTCCTCCCCCCATCTTACCAAAAGGCCAGATATAAAGCTCTGCCATGACACGGGGCAGTGTGGCTGAGCCGGGAACTGGTGGGGAGGGGGCGGTAAAGGCAGGACTCCTGGCCCCTTCCTTCCTCAAGCCTTTTTCCTCGCCCCCTCTGAGAGTTTCCACTGGTGACACCATTTACTGTAAGTTTTGTGCTCTGAAGAGCCTGGGCAAACCCCGAGCCAGAAGGGAGGGGCCGGGGGAGGCCGCTCTGACCTTCTCCCCGCCTAGAGGCAGGCCCAGCTTTCGGGAAGTGACGGTGGTCCTTCCTCCCGCCGAGAACTCCCTGGCCTGTGGGTTGGCCTCGCTCCCTCCCTGCCTGGCAAATCCCAGGGCCCTGGGAGGTGATCAGAGCCACCACCTGTTGCCTCTAACCAGAAAACAACTGCCGGCTGCTGCTGCTGCTGCTGCAGTGACAAGAATTGGTCTTGACCATGGGAACAAACCCTGCTTCCTGCCCAGGGCCCCCAGAGAGCAGTGAGGAGGAGCTGTGTCCTGGTGGGTCGGGTGGGAGGGCGTGGTGTGAAGGCAGCATGACACTTGCAAGAGAAAGGGTTTGCCTTCCCTTGCAGGAGGAAGTGGCTGAGCTGGGGCCTCGTCCCTCCAGCTCCTGCCTGTCCTGGCTAAGGCCACAGTGACCTTCCTCAGGTTGATCATGCTCTGACAAGGGTCCGCCAATGGCTCAAATGACCATGGCGAAGGGGCCCCAGAGACTCGGTCATCACATGCTAGGGACAAGGAACCTGCAGTTCCCAAGAATGGCAAAGGAAAGGATGATTTGAGAAGGACATTTTAGGGAGTGGTGGGGAGGCAGTGAGTGTGCACCCCATGGCAGTGTGTGTGTCTGCTCTACAGAACTCCTCTAGCCTCTAATTGGGGTCTTCACAGTAATCCTTTGAATAGAGACAAAGAGTTGGCTGTCAGGTTAGCCCCACTCCACAGAGGAGGCCAGCTGAGACCCTAGGACACACGTACACTCAAAAACCACCTCACACACCTCAAAACCACCTCAGGCTGCTAGGAGAGAGTGCTTTGCGATCTACCTCTAAATGCTGGTTTTCCTTGAAATTCAAAAATTTTGCATCATTGATCCAAAGACCCACAACCACATAGGGAAAAAGAGCAGGGTTTAAGTCATGGGTCCTTCTACCACATCCAGCAATGGCGTTCCCTGGGAGGGTGCAGATGTGAGGGCGAAGGTCCCTGGGGAGGGGAGGTGGAGGTCTTAAGAACTCTTGCCACCCCACAGCCTCTCAAGAGAAAGTTGCTTTGGAGTTTGATGTCTGCAGCACAGCATGCTAAGTCAGCCCCTCTTGCGAACGCTGACTGACCATCTCCCTGCCTGCACCATGGTGGGTAGGTGTCACTGGTTCAGTGGCTCTGGAAGAGGCAACCTCAAGGTTGGACCTTTTTCCAGACCCTGAGCCAGGTCCTGAACACCTGAACTCTCCATCAGTGGTACCTGGAAACTGAAGTCCTGGGCCCTGGGACCCTAAACAGTACTGACGCCTGATTCTGATATAATAGATCTAGGGGTAAGGCCTGATGTGGGGTTGTTAACGTCTTTCTAGGGAGGTGCTAAGGGGTAGTTAATACTGAAAACCACAGCAAGCGATCTCAAAGCCCCTTGTAGATGAAATGTTTTAAGGTTTTGAAGTGGCTGCCTGAGCATATTAGGAAAATAGAGCCTCTTAACCTCCTCCTTTTAGGAAGGGGTGTGTGTGTGTGTGTGTGTGTGTGTGTGTGTGTGTGTGTCGGGAGCAGAGAGGTACAGGCTCAATTCACACTAGAAAGATGAGCAGAAGCCAACATTTCTGAAAGTACAACCCCCTGTTAAGTACTTTGTGTCTATCTAATCTTTGCAGCGACCTCATGGATGTACAGAGGAGGAAGCTGGCAGGTGCGGAGACACAAAGGCACCTGCCTGTGTTAATGGCAACCCCAGGACAGGAACCAAGCGTGCTGGCTTCAGAGCGTGTGGCCTCCCTCCCACCAGGCCTGGGAAGTCTTTCTAGGCCTGATGTAGTCTGACCACGAGCTCCTGCCCTGCTGACCTCCCAGGGTCATCTGCCATCTTTTCCCACCTCATGCATGTGCCAATGCTAGCGTCTATAGTCCCCTTCTCCTGTGGGGTCATCTTCTGCCACCTCCATCCAACCTACACACAGCTTGGGGGTGGTGGAGCAGGAGGCTTCCTGGGGGTGTGGGAAGGTTCTGGGAAATCCCCCCTGCTGGAGGGGCTGGAGAGGAGGTCATTCAAAGAGCTCTTGCAGGATGGGGAATCCCCAGGCTCTTCCCTTACCCAGAGAAGCCAGCTGGGACAAGGCCAGACTGGCACCCAAAGCAGGACTTGTTCCTCCTGCCTGGCAGCCCCGGTTTAGTGTCTGCACCTTCTCGTGGCATTTGCTCATCACAGTGTCCACAAGGGCTCAACAATCCATGTGCTTTCCCTGCTCAACTGAACATGCAGTCCTGCCCAGCAAATTGGGCCTTTTAAATGCTCCTACCCACACTGGCACAAGTAAATGAGCTTGGAGGTTTGTTCCCTGTGCCCGGCCAGGTGGTATCCCTCAGCAACCATCCCTTTAGCATCTGCTGCAGGCAAAAGGTGGGACCCACCATCCCTGCAGCAGGCTTAGGACTGAGAGCTCAGACATGGTCCAAGCAGTGGGAAAATTCACGCCTGTAGCTCCCACCATTCCCACAGAAGTTAGGCCCAGCCTGAGCCTGTAAGAAGAGAAGAGAAATCACTAAACCTCAGGTCTTTGCACCGCGCACACCTGATTCTGGAGAAATCTTCACTTTTGTGCCTTTAGGGCCAGAAGTGCCTTTTGTATCAATACCTACTCCCTGGGTTTCAGTACTGTGATATCATTGACCTCCAACATGACAAACACTCTATCTAGGCTGGCTCACTCAGCAAACTCCTCCACGGTCTCCCTCTAGAGAGCCAGAAAAATCGCTCAGACACCAGCTTCCCTTTAGCTAGGAGCGGCTGTGAGACAGGATTCTGATCAATGAGATGCAAGCTGAATTTGGAGGCA